CTTGGATTCTTTTGGATAGATACCAAGGAGTGGTAGAGCTGGATCATATGGTAGCACCATGTTTAGTTTTTTGAGCAACCTCCATATGGATTTCCACAATGACTATACCAATTTACATTCTCTTTTCCCTGTACTTATTATTATTTGCAGTTTGATGACTGTTATTCTGAGTAGAGTGAGACGGAATATCAGTGTAGTTTTCATTTTCATTTTCCCAATGGCTAGAGATGTTAAACATTTTGTCATATTTTTTATCCATTTGTACTTCTTTTGAAAAGTATCTGCTTAGATCATTAGCCCATTTATTGAGTGGGTTATTTGTTTTGTTTTGTTTTTTTTTTTTTTAGTATTGAGGTTTATTTAGTTCTTTATATATTCTAAATACTAATCCTCTGTTAAAGAGTAGACAGCAAAGTTTTTTTTTTTCCATTTTGCAGGTCTTCTCTTTACACTGATAATTGTTTCCATTTTAGTGCAAAAAGTCTTTAGTTTGATGCTATCCCTTTTATATTATTTTATTTGTTTACTTTTTAAAAGACCTTGTTTCATTTATTTATTTTCTGTGATGCTGAGGATCAAATCCAGTGCTCATGAATGCAAGGCAAGCACTCTGAGCCACAACCTCAACCCCTATATTATTTTATTTTAATTTAAGTTTACTTTATTGCTAGCATTTTTTAGTGCTAGGCAGACCTTGGGGCCTCTTACTAACACTAATGAAAGCAATTTAACTAACATTCGTACACGTAGTTCAAAGAAAATGTCTCCAGTTTGACTCCACAGACTCTTGAAACTATTATTTGAAGGACCAGGGGCTTTAACTACGAGTTAAATATCCCTCCTCCTGGATAGGTTTCATTTCTGCCCTGGATGATTGGAGCCCAGCTACACACTGACTTGCTAGCCAGCAGGGAATTTCAAATTCTCTTTTATGTATATCTAGCTGCTTTTAAGAAAAAAAAAAAAAAAAGGTGTGTGTGTGAAAGTGTGGGATCATTAACAAGAGAATTTGCAATGCTATTTGCATTTATTGATTCTTCATATTATTTCCTGAGTTCTAGGAATCCTGTTGAAGGAGCCAACTGCCTATACCTATGCATTGAAGCATTTCCCCTATGTTCTTTTCTACCAGTTGCAAAGTTTCTGATCTTAGTCCTACGATCTTTAGTCCATTTTAGGGGGTTGACTTTTTATATGGCATGACATTAGGGTTTACTTTCAATCTTTTACTGTAAATATCCAATGTTCCCCAGGGACATTTGTTAAAAAGGCTGTCTTTTCTCCAACACAATTTTTGACAACTTTATCAGGAATGAGATGATTGTGGTTGTGGGTTTGACTCTGTGTCGTCTAGTCTGTTCCATTAGTCTCCATGTCTATTTTTATGGTAGTACTGTTTTTGTTACTGCATCTCTATAGTATAATTGAAGTCAGGTATTGTGATGGATTTAGATTTACTCCTTTTGCCCAGAATTGCTTTGGCTATTCTGGGTCTTTCTTCTTCCATTCTGAGAATACCATTGGTATTTTGATGCGGATTGCATTGAATCCTTGAATTGCTTTTGGTAGTATATCCATTTTAACAATAGTAATACTGCCTATTTAGGAGCACAGAAGGTCTTTTCACCTTCTGGTGTCTTTGATTTTTTTTTTCAGTATTCTGTAATTTTTCCTTGTAGATGTCTTTCATTTCCTTTTGTCTAGATTTATTCCTAAGTATTTTTTGAAGCTGTTGTAAGTGGAATTATTTCTCTGGTTTCTTCCTCAGCAAATTTATTATCAGTGTATAGAAAAGCTTTTGATTTTTGTATAGTGATTTCGTATTCTGCTACTTTGATGATTTTTTTTTAATCAGTTTTAGGACTCTTGTATGCGGGATTGCTCATGACTAAAACACTCAGGAGTCACTCCAGTGGGATGGGGTTAATTGGGCTGCACAAAATAACCACACAAGAGACAGAAATACCTTTTTCTTTTGAGGTTGCTGTGATGGTTCCTTGGATCCTTAAGGGTCTACAGGAATTGAGAGAGAGAGAGAGAGAGAGAGAGAGAGAGAGAGAGAGAGAGAGAGAGAGAGAGCCCACAAGTGCCGACCCCTTTTATTGAGGAGAAGCTATTCAAAGAGGCAAGGGGTCAGATTTCAGGGAGCTGAGTCTAGCTTCATGATGTCTGCTGTCAGCAGGTTGACTGACATCTAGGAAGGGCACAGTAAGATAAAGGGACACACAAAAGGTGTTTCCATGGAACATGCTATCCCAMACAGGACAAGGATTAATATTACAAAGGAACAGGTGAGCATAGCTCCACCCATGGGGCTGTAGCAAGACCTCCCCATGCAGGAGACACCGTCCCTCAAACCCAAGAAGGGTGGGGAAGTCCTGCCTCATTTCTGCTACTTGGACACCTCAAAGCACCCAGCCAGGGAGTGTGACTCAGTCACATGCAAGGTTGATCTCCCACACTTGTAGATCTTAAAGAACTCAGTATATGATCATATCATCTTCAACTATTTTCTTTCCTATTTGTAGCCTTCATGATGTTGAGGTAAGTTCATTTTATCCCTATAGTTTCTTCAGAGTTTTTATGAGTGAGTGATGAATTTTTTGAAGGCCTTTTCTTCATCTATTGAGAGGATCATGTTGKTTTTGTCTTTGACTTATGTGTCCTACTACATTTATTGATTTCTGTATATTGAAGCATCCTTGCTTCCATGGAATGAAATCAACTTGACCATGTTTTATAGTCTTTTATTGCGTTTATTTGATTTTTTATTATTTGATTAAGAAATTTTGCAACCATGTTCATCAAGCATATTGGTCTGAAGTTTTGTTTTCTTGAAGTGTCCTTATCCAGTTTTGTTATTAGGGTGATACTAACTTCACAGAATGAGTTTGGAAATGTCCCACCCCTTCCTATTTCATGGAATAATTTTAGAAGCGTTGGCACTAATTCTTCTTTAAAGTTCTGGTAGAATATAGCTGTGAATTCATCTGTTTCTGGGTTTTTCTTTCATGAGAGTTTTAACTGTCACTTCAAACTCATTGCTTGTTATTGGTTTGTTTGTGTTTTCTATATCYTCTTGGTTCAATTTTGCTAGGTTGTATGTGTGTGAAAATTTATCCATTTCTTTTAGATTTTCCAATTCATTGAAATGTAAGTTTTTTAAAATCATCCTTAATGATCTCCAGATTTTAGAGTTGTCTAGAAATTTTTTAAAAAGCTAAAACTACTCAAATCTCTTGTCCCACATCAGGGAAAYTGAACTCCTTAGAACTCCATTTGAAACACCATGCCTTTATAGTATCTATTATTTCCCCCAGTGATAATTTTTTTCTATACTATACTTCAATTGCTGTTTCAAATTTTTATGTTTTTCCAAAACTTTGATATTTTTGGTATCAGCTCAATAATATTACTATCATATGCTCTGAATTATGTATGCATGTGTGTATTGATAGCTATATACATAAATGTTTTATGTGTATATAAAGGTAAGCAGAATTGGCCCTGAAAGTTTTATATTCATATAATTTAGAGGAAATCTATTTTTATTGTAAGCTATAATTGTGAATGTTACATGATAGTGCTCACTGCCTATGGTGACAAAATAATAAGGACAGTAAAAGGTTTGTGTATTGCTTGATTACTTTGTAGCAGTTGTGGAAGCAAATTTCTGTCTGCTAAGAATAGTAATAATGTTGCAAACATCTATTTCCTGGTGTAGTTAAGTTGAAAATGTAGCAGAACAAAATGTCAATACTAAATTTCAAAACCAGAAAGTAAAAACAAAATGAGAGAAAAGAAAAATTAGGGAAAAAATATCATACACGAATTTAGGGACTTCTTTTACTCAATAAATTGCCTTATAATGTGATTTATGGTTTTAAAACAAACTATCACAGTTTACTTGAGCAATTCAATTGCAATTGTATATTTTAAAACTCAGGTTAAATGTCTATATGTTCCTTAAATTTAAGATCTGAGTTTTTATTCTTATAATACTGTAGTGTTTTTAATAACCTTATACTGTTTTAAAATATATATAACTGCATTGTTGTTTATTTTACAAATATTCCTATACTTAAAATCACTTTCCTTTCTAATTCCTCCACAAACTACACATTGATGTTTTGCTTCTGAAATCTAATTATCACAATCTAGCACATAATATGGGAATTTTTCTGGACCTCCTCAATTCAGCCAAGTCTCTGCCTCAATTCCATTCTCCACCATGACATCATATTAAACCTTCAGCACTGGTATCATTTTCTTGGGGTCAATAAGATGTCAAATAATTTTCACCTTAACTAATGTTTTATTAAATTTCTCTCATGAAAGAAAACTGGGATTGATTTTTTTAACATACATACATAACTTTATATTTGCTTATAAGTTCTATTGGGATAAATTTACATCATTAATTTTATTATTTATTATGTTTAGATGCTTCACACCTTTCTGTCATCTTAAAATATGAAAAGTCACTATATTATCATTCAATAGTTTTAAGGCCCTAAATTTCATTTATTCATACTTGAATCCCTGCAAATAACTCAGATATTTCAGTACTCTAAAAATGTTCCACTCACATATTATTTTTCAAAATGGCATTGCCATCTGAATTATCAACAGGTTCTCTCTAAATCTTCACTCTTCAATAAATTAACAATTTCTGAACATGAATGTTTGCAACAGACAACCAAAAAATGAAATGTGGGTTGGCAGACACAATTCATTTTTAAGATAGCTGTGTCTCTTTCTACTAACCACACCTGTCATTCTAAGGACTAACAACTTCATTTCTGCTCTAGGATGTTAAATATTAATACTGAACTTGAGTAACTATTCTCTTTAAAATTTATATCTCCACCCATTTCTCAAATGAGATAATTCTTGATTACTTCTAGTTTGGAAACTAATCTTTCTCCATCATTCCTCCAAAATTAGAAATAGTGGCTTTGAGATAATTTCTACAAATTCTTTTAGAAATATTAGAGATAGGGCTCACTTCAGCAGCACATATACTTAAAYTGAAATGATACAGAGAAGATTAGCATGGCCCCTGCACAAGGATGACACGCAAATTCGTGAAGCACTCCGTTTTTTTTTAATGTGAATTTGGTGTCAACATACTTTATATACAGAGATATGATAAATGGTGGTATAAAGGTGCATTAAGAATTGTATGCAAAAAAAAATAAGAGAACTCATGTATAATGGCATAATTTGGTGTGAACATACTTTATATACAGAGTTACAAAAAATCGTGCTGTGAATGGATAATTATGAATGTAATGCACTCCACTATTGTCATGTATGTAAGAAATAAATAAAGAGAAATCTTAGAGATATAAAACCCAAGGGATTGTTCAAGAATTCAGTGTAAAGGAATAAGTATCTCATAAAATTTGAATTACCCAGGACAAAATTCATAATGAATAGAAATTCCTTGGATTCTAACCAGGAGTCCTGCATTCTGGCATAAGTAAATTCTTCAAATGTAAACAGAATGTTCTATTGGTTTTTAGAAACCTGCATCCAGCTCAAATCCTAGTGTGTATTAGATGTTGTTTAATGTTGACTAAATGCAACATAATTTATATGAATTGGGAGACAACTCAATGAAAACATGTAACTACTCCTTTACTATCTCTTTCTTTTAATGGGACTTAACTCTGTTGCCATATTTCTTTCACTATTGCTGATTGAACATCATTCCCTTTAATTTAAGAAAGCCTAAAAATAAATAGGTGAGTCAATATAACTTTAACTGTTTTCCCTTTTCCATCTGTCATAAAGAGTTGAGAAACTGTATTTTCTCTGTATTTTATATTAAATCATATCCAGAGATTAAGATGGGAAAAACTTCTTAGTGTTAAACAAAAAAGGAATAGATGAATAAGAGTTGAACTTAAATCCAAATACTTTACCAAAAAAATTAATCAAATGGTGACTGTGTAGAACGCCTTCATATTTTCCAGCACCTCTTGGACTAATCTTGAAAAATTGTCTTTCTTTTTCAGTGTAATAGAATCTGCAAGCACTCAGGACTTGGGTTTATTAAAGTGGAATGCTTGCAGGCTACAGTTCAAAAGCGAATCTGAGAATTTAAAGCTAATACATGATATGCTAAGTATCATGATATGTCAAGTGTAATACTCTATGCAAATTTTCCTAATAGCATTGCAGAACTCCCCAGATATGATTGAAAATGTGTCCAGCACTGCAGTAGGCAAGAGAGATAAAATGATGAAGACTCAGCTTTGGGACTTGACCTGTGTCCAACTAGGGAGGAAGCATCAGCAAAATTAAGATGAATGTACCATGAACACAGTGATGGTTGATGTGCCACAGATTCTCAGAAAGAAGTGAATTAATTGTAACAAAGAGTATTGTAGACAAATGGAGAGTGGAAGAAAATACTGAGCTGGGTTTTTACTGAAGAGTGAAAGGTGACCAACTTGAAGTATGAAGAAGATACTTTCTAAATTGAGGGAAAATCAAGATAAAGTAATGGTCTAAAGCGAGTCTGAGAGTTTTATGTGTTTAGGTGACTGGGAGAAAGTTATTTGAAATGAGACCATAAGGGTGGACTTAAGTGATATTATAAAGTCTCTAATCTTCATTAGAGTGTTTTTTCTAACTTTATGAACAAAAGAAATTCATAGCATATTGTTAAGCAGTGAAATGATAATAACATATAGCATGCCATCCTAGTTCATTCTTACTACTATAACAAAATACCACATAAAGGGTAATTTAGAAATAATAGAAATTTGTTTTTCCCTTTCCGGAAATTGGGAAATCCACAGTGAAGGTGTGGATGGATTCAGAGTCCAGTAAGAACTGGTTTTCTTTGCTTCAAAGAGAGTTCCTTGTTGTTGTGCCTTCACAAACAGGTGGGAGGTGGCACTCTTCTCCATTCACCAGGACAGAGTTTTCATGATTAGTCATGTCCCAAAGGCTTAATAATAAATACAGTCACCCTGGAGTTTAAATTCCAACATATGTATTTTGGAGAGATACTCACATTGAAATCATAGCAAATGCTTTCTTTAAAAATTTCATTAACTCTTACTTTAAACATTCCCTTTAGGAAAGGAACTGAATTAATGTGATAAGGAAGAAAAAGAAAGCATTGGATATTTTCTAATTTTCTTTCAGACTAGATAACTTGGTAGGACAAAGTTCCAAAATCAACTGCTAGAGAAAGCAAGAAGTACATTTGATTTCAGAAAGAACTTGAACTTAGCTTGATCCAAAGTTTGAAGTGATCTAGGGAGTTGGAAAAGTGAAAGTTCCTGAAAGCCAAGTTGCTGATTACCAGCCTCAGTAGAATAGAACTGGGGTGGTGGGGAGAGTGTTAGAGAGTGAGGGACAAGGAAAACTTGGTCTTAAAGAAGTTTACAGGGAGGAATCTATTTTTTATTGGAATCATTAAGTCAATCAACAGTAAGTTCAAAAGAGATGAGAAGGAGCATTGAATATTCATGACACTAAAAAATAACCAGAATCCCACAGGTTGTCACATTGTCTTTTACACTTTCAGATCCAGAAAATGGTATAAGTATCCTGAGCCTACCCTAAAGATTCTGTGTGTTGTGTGTGTGTGTAGACAATTTGACAAAAATTTTTAAATGATGATACACCACAATGAAGTTGTCACATAGATTTATAATTGAGACAAACTACCCATTTAATTTGATAGTTAATTATTAAAGACTAAGGTGAAACAAATGAATTAAAGTACCTTGCCCTTAAGGAGATATCAGTCTAGGAAGAAAAACAGATAGGCAGAGTAAATAGAGTCTAAATCTAACAATTGATGAAAGATTATGCTGGCGTTCATAATTTACATTCGTGTTTAAGATTTAGGCACTAGGACCTTAGATGCATGCATTTATCAATTATGTTCTGTTCACTACGGTGTTTTGAGGCCTGGAAGAGTCCCTAGTTCAGAGTATGACTTTAATATAAATTTGCCCTAACATATCATGATATAAGAATTATGGTGAAAATTTCAAAAATTAAAAAACTAATACTGTGCTCGCTTCAGCAGCACATATACTAAAAAACTAATACTAAAAACATTAAGTAATTTGCTCATAGTATGTTGGGTAGGGAATGCCAGAGTTAGGAATCCAAGGCTAAGAAACTTGTATGAGATTTCCTACTTTATTCAGACATTTGCCTTTTAGATATCATTCTCATATAAACACTTAGAAACTGAAATGTGGAAAAGAATAAGGTGTGGTCTTTACTTGCTTTGGGTCAATCTGTATGGCTGTAATAGAGGAAAGCACTAATTGTTATTCAATCCACCTAAAATGCCAATGCCCTTAAAAATKGAGCTATTAGTAATGCAAAGATGAAGCCCCCAGGATTGCAAAAATCCTGCTTAACCAAACAGCAAGTCTCATGCAGCATAGTTGCTTCCAAGACTGACTTGGCTGTTCTCCATTTTTGTACAAACAGCCAAGCCCAGGAACCCCTGCACAGTTAGACAGAATGTAGCTTCTGACCATGATTCTGCAATCAGGCATTATTAGAATGGATCCAAATGCCCCATTTTTCAGAGACTCTGATTACTACATATGGAGTCATAGTTGATCATCTGGATGGACTTTAAAACCGGATCTGGACTAGCCCTAAAAAGATAAAGTTCAATCATTTCTTTACATCAGAAACACAGAGAACCAGATATATTGGTAGAAGAGAATCATCCCTTCTGGCTGAACAAGATGAAAAGTATATTTTCTTGAAATGGATGCTTTCCAGGGCTCAGAAACATTTGGTCAGCATTTCTGGAAATCTATAGGAAACAAGTTAAATTTATGCTCCATGAAAAGWCTCATATTACAAAATGAGTTATAAATTAAATCAAAAAAAGCAATCACATATTGTCATCTCCCTTTCTCTTTTTCTCTCATTTATTTGTTTTATTAATATCCTCTTATTTTTAATGGCATATGGACTATTTGTATAATACATCTTTCTATGATAAACATTGATTTTTGAAGAAAGAAAAATCAAGTTAAATAAATGGTACAAGCAATAACATTCTTCTTGTTTATAATGTACAGTCATAGATATATTGTTTCTAAAAATTGATATAAATAGGAATGAGAAATGTCTTAGTTTTCATATTGGTCCAAGAGTCTTATTCTTATTGCCAGAATTAAAATTTCAAGGCTCATCCAAGACTTAAAAAGCAAAACTCAATGAAGAATACATATAAAGAACAAATGTAGTGATAATTTCATAGTTGATAATTTAATGCTTTATAAAACACTAAAATGTATCATTTATTTTCCTTTGATTATTAAATGGCATCAAGTGAGGTGAGGGATGTTACATAGGTTGTCATCCCCTAGCCCAGGGGTCAGAAGCTCTTTTTACAGAATCAGGCAGTAAATATTTTAGGTTTGGGCACATGTATATTCTCTGTGGTATATTCTTATTTTTCTTTAAAAAAGAAAAGATCTCATGAAATACCAAAACTATTCTTAGCTCATAAGCTCACAACTAGTGACCTGATGTTCTTTGCCAACTCCTGCTTTTGTGTTCCAGTTTTCTCTTCACAACACAAATATCTCAACCAACCATTGACTGTTGCTCTTAATTTGCTCATGTGGAGAAAGAAATGTTTTCTTCGAGGTGAGAAAAAGACAAAACTTGCAAAATTTAGTGCTTGTTTGTTTGTTTTACAAAGGACTGCACAAAGGTTTGTATGTTCACAAATGTGGGCAATTTCAGGTCCTGCTCCATGCCAGCAAAATGCCTTAGCATTTACCCTCTGCAATCTCAGAGAGTGAACTCTCAGCTGTATGAAGACACATTCCTAATGACACATGCAAATAAAGGTCCAGTTTTATAGTGAACTCTGAGTGTGTGGATGCAGGAAGTCCTAGTGTCAATCTGTCCTTTCACTTGCTAAATGATCACTAAGTGTTTGCATATCTCAAGCATCACTTCAGGCCCAGGAAATTCAGGAGAGACCATACTTGAATGCCCTTGCCCAGATAGGTTATCCTTTTAAACCTAGGAAAAGACAGAAAATAAGCCTTTGCAAAATGGAAAAAAATAAGAGAGAGCCATATGATGGTG